TGCTCTTGTAGGCATGGTAATAAATCTTTTGGTTCCATGAAAGATGAGGGATTTCTTGGCTGGCGGAATGACTGTGAGTTTCTGAACAAGGTCTCTGTTTCATGGAGTTATTTAGTTAACAAATTGCTGAAAAATACAGAGCTTTTGTTAATATAATTTCTTATCAGATGTGAAAAAACACTGATTGTTCTGTTGTTATCTTCTTGAAAATGTAGAATCGTATATTTTATTGTTTTACTGCAGGTGAGGAAGAGAGCAGACATTTACAGCAACACACTGTCAGATGCCAGCACATCGAGAGGTACGTACATTCATAGTAACAGGATTCATAGATATGTGATATAACATTTTTCTCACCTGGTTGTCAACAGCCGAATTAAATTTGTCAAGTTTTAGCAGTCAGATCAGGTTAAATGGAAAAGAAAGTTGGTACAAGGTTTTGTGTGTTACATAAAACATGTTGAGAAGAGTAAAAAGTTGTTGGCCGATAGAAATATTCTCGTGGCAGTGCTGATGGGAACATTTCTCGGTGATGAATTGTATACATCTATATATACACGTCTCACGGTTGAAATCCAAGAGGTTATGATGGACTCAGCATGTAGATGAGACAGATGGAGAATGCATACAGAGTTCTGGTGGGAGAACTTTCAGAAAGTGACTTTAAAAGCCAAGAAGGCTGTGGGAGGATTAGATTAAGATGACACTGGCTCAGGGTCATGTCTAATGAGAGGTTATGTATGTAACTTTCTGGTTCTGTTGTCAGTAAGATAGGTAGTTTGTTGTTTCATATGAGGTGGGGGAGGGGTGTAGTGCATATGGAAGAAATGAGGAATGCATATCAAATTTTGGTCAGAAATCCTGAAGCAAAGAGACCACTTTAGCTTACCTCTAGATGGGAAGATAATGTATTTTGACATTATGATGGATTGCTGGTCACAGTTCTAGCCATGTTGCTATTACTATTAAGTTTCAGTTAGTATTTGCTGTATGTAGTGTTTATAGTTCATACAGACTAGTGGATGAATTACTTGGTGTGTAACATAATACATTTTCACCCTTCAGAGTATGACTTGTCTGAATATGAGAGACCAGTGTTCCAGAGAGGTGTCCGTGAACGCAGGTATTAGTATGTTTTAGCACATAACATGGAATCAGCAATTAAATTTTGTTCCTAACATCACAGTATTAATTAAATGGAGTCATAATTATATGACTCGACATCAAGATGCCAGTAAGACCTGCTGGAATTTAATTTGTGAAATACTGAGAAGAGCAAAGCATTCTGCAGTTGGGGCATACAGCATCATGAAGTTTAGTTTTAGTTAACATTTAATACTTTATTTCAGGGGGGATTTTAAAGAGTAAACATTTTATTTAATATATTAACAAATATTTATAATTCATATGTGATGTCACATTGGGTTGTTTGAATTTACAAAGTCTGGCAGACTTTTTCCAGTATGCATGCCAAAATTAAAATACAATTTTTAAAAATGCCTTTGTGAGTATAAGTTTACTTATCCATTTAACTGCTGTACAAAGAGTATGCACAGCTAGTCAAGTTCAATGCCTTTTATACAACCCAAAGATTCATTACCATGTTTATAAGAGCCCACCACCAGCCCCTATCATGGGCCAATCCATATTCTCTATCCCTATTGCCCTAAGATCCATTTTAATATTATTCCCTTGTTTGGATTTTTCTGCTGCTACATCAGTTTTGTATCACTGTGATTCATCACTGGTCTTTTGCCCACACACCCCTCCCTTCTGATTTCATTATCTTATTCCTTCTTCTCTTAAGTTCTTTTCATAACAGTTCATCTCCATCTGAATGTATTTCTTACTATATACTGTCATTTTGCATTTGGTCTTGTTTGTTTGCTGCTATATTTTCATCTGTACTGTTCCATTTGGCAACATTCTTTCTTTTAATATTTACAATTATGTTCACACCTGGCCATTTTTCTTATCATACTTTAATTTTTTAACAGTTCTTTTCTCTTAAAATATCTTGGTGTACATTATCAAATATAGGACAGCTTTTTGAATATGCATTTAGTTATTTCTTAATATGTATTTATCCAACATGTTGATAGTGTGAATTATTTTCATCCCAAATTTTTCAAATAATTTATTGTTTGCCAAAGAAGCATTGAACCAAACATTTCATTTGCTAAAACTTGCATGTGAAATATTATTTTTAATGAATTTTTATGATGTGATTGTATGTGATACATATTTGAATGGTTGGCAAGGCAGCAGGCTCAAACCTGAATACTGTAGCTGCACTGCCAATTTCCTATTTGTATTCTGTTATTTAGATTTATGTTATAACTTATTTAATTTAAAATTGTATTTATCTATGAAATAGTGTGTTTCTTTGTATTTTATAACTTACACACTGTTAGATTTCATTAAATGTATGCTCATATGTTGTATCATACCGGGACTTATGGTATTATTAAGGGACAGAGGCATGGGGAAAAAACCAGGCATCTGCCTGCTCCTATGCAAGCACTTTGGAAAAGTCAAAATCAAAATTGAGGAAACTCATATAAAAAAGCAATATACTAAATATTAATACCAAGCATGATATGATTTTTTTAAAAAACACTTCCATCCTCAATAGAAAAGTTATTATCAAGTCCAGAACAAAATTAGCAATTTTTCTGACTGTCCCTCTCTTAGGAAAAGTCCTGCCTGTACCTGCAGGCAAAGGTGATCTTGCACTTGGTCACCTGTGCTTAGAACCTTGCAACAGGTGTAAGGGAATAATTGTTAAGTAATAATAGTCCTCACACAAGTTACAGAGCTAGTTATGGTAGCAGAATGAAGGAATAATGTAAGCTGATTTGTATTGTGTGAGATCTGAGGTTCTAATCATCACCTTGAAGATGGAGGCAGTAAGCTCATCTGAAGTGTAGGTCAATATCCAGCAGTTAACAGTGCTGCATCCCAGAAGAGTCTTGGAGTTAGCTCCTATTCCTGAGCTTAAAAGTCTCATATGTGATGTTTCCATTCTCCTAGCTTTCTTACATAACATGCGATTTCATTTCCACACATCAAAGCTGGTTTGGAGAGTTGGATTATAAATTTGTGTTTTTAGATGAAGATGACTGTCATTGTGGATGAAGTCTTGTAGAAGTTTATCAACGTTTCACAGGTTCTTCCCTCTGTTATTATGGCACAGCATCTCAGATGTCATCTTCATACCTAGTAGGATTAGAGGTTTTTGTGGTAGCGAGTTTGAAGACGGGTGTCTTCAGGGTTGTAGTTGCCTCCATCTTCAGGGTGATAATCGCCCTGATGATGGAGACAGCAAGGACCTCTAAAACGTTGGTAAATTACCAGATTACATGGCACTACAACCAAAGGTTGCCAGATTACATGGCACTACAACCAAAGGACTCATAATCGTCTACGTACCCATTGCCATGAGAACCTGAAGTTTCACCTATGCATTTTTATTTTTACTGCTTCAATACAATTTATGTATCGTTGGAACTTCATGATCGTTTCGTACATTTATATACATATGGATTTTGTTTTATATCGTGTTGGAATTAAGTTTGTTGTCTGTGCAATGATTATCTTATAATAGGATTTGAGGTTATTTTCTTTGCTGAGTAAAGTAGTCTGTGGTCATAATTCACTGGCATTAGATGGATTTATTTAAAATGGATATTTGATTGTGGAGTTGGTGGTGTAAGATATATCGTAAGAAGACAAGTCATCGTCATGATGTAAGTAATTGTGTTATGAAATAGCTAATTTCAGATTTCCATTTCCACTTTTGAGATTCTCCCGTAGGATATGGTAATGGAGGTTACGTATTACGTGGCCTGTCTGACATGTCAATGAGGCTACAAATATGTATGTAGAATTCAGTTACCAAAAATGTTGAGAAAATTGTTATTAAGCTTGCTAAATGGTATATACTAATTTTTTTATTAGCTCTATATAAGTTTACAGTGTAATTTCGCCCATTTTGTATGGTGTGAGCAAGCTTAGCATTGAAGGAAACTGGAGGATGGTAGAATATTTGTACCCAACAGGGATGAAGTGACTAGAGGATGAAAAAAATTGCATATTGAGTTTCGTAATTTGTACACGACACCACATATTAGGACAAATAAAAGTGGATGAGGTCTGTGGGCCATGGGTGGAGTTTAGAAATATGTATAAAATTTTGATTGGAAAACGTGAAAAGACGATATCACTAGCAAGATGTGGGTGCAGATGGGAGTTTGACATTAAAATGGATCTTAGGAACATGGTATTGTGGTTATGGGTTGATTGGATTCATCTGGCTCAGGATAGTAACCAGCGGTAAACTTTTGTGAACATAGTTTTGAACTGCCAGTTTATATTAAAGGCAGAGAATTTCTACAAAGGGGTGTTCCATAGAGTTCTGTGTGAGGTTGTATAGCATAAATTTATTGTATAGCATATCTACTGGCCTAGAATAGATTCTAAACCTCGGTTCCATCCTATAATCAGCCAGTTACAAGGAATGACCTTTGTGGTAAGTTTTGAGGGTTAAATTTCAAAATAAGATATTAGCTAAGCTGTCCTAAATTAATGGAGCAAAACTTAACTATATAGGTATACTATGTGGTCAAAAGTTGCCCTGCCACATGGCCTAATTTGATGGTTTTTAACTGTATTCTACACTTCAACCATATAAATTTAATTCTGCCCAATTGTTATGGTCAATTCTAACAGTTTTCTTTTATAAAGTAAGTATTCTTTTACTGTTAGATGAATTGCCCCAAAGAATTATTCAGTATTTCATAATAGAGTGAAAATAGGCAACTGATTTCTGACTTCCTGCCACGAAAACCTCAAATCCTACTTAATTTATGAGTGTCTGTACTGTTGATATGAAACATCAATGTAACTGCTGTACTCCATGCTCTGTTTTTTGTTCAATAAGGATCTATGGAATATGAATGACATCTTTTCTGTTCTATTCTATGTCATTGTCTGTGGCTGGGGCATGACACTGACCACTCATTCCTATCTAGTGCTGAAGTCAAGAATAAGTAGGAGTTACACCTCCTCTCCCCACTAGTGCCTGCATGGCATGTAGCGGGTCAGCTTTATTTTTGTTTCCCCTTTCTTCTTCTTCTTCCTCCCCCATTTTGTTATGTGCCAGTCAGATACATGTATATGGATGTGATTATAAATGTCATGTGTTACTGCTGTATGCTGGTCATTCTAGAATTATTTTAAGTTATGGGGACAATCTTTCTTTGCCTTAAATGTTAAAATAAGTAAAAAGAACCTACCAAGAGCTAAAGACTGAACAGTATGGTGTAATGGCTATTGATGTGGCTTCAGAATGGGTTTAATTCTTCAGACTTTTTTTTCTAATCTTCAGAATTCAGTGACTTCTGAAGTTGTAAAGTTCTTTTTATGCATATATCTATGGAATGTAAAATAATACAAACATTTGTATCAGTGGGCTCATTTCATGTCCCATCACGTAATAGGTCTGAAGAAGTTCTGAACATTTATTTCTTGTATTGGTATTGATGTATTTCCAGAACAGCTCTATGCTGATTTCTAGCTGAAGACATACCTGAGAGCTGCTACTGTTATTACAACATGACGTCCATGTTTGACCAATATGAGCAAGCCTCCCAGCGGTTCAAAGGCACAGCAGGTTCATCTGTTCGACCTGAGATGGTAAGAAAACAAAGTAACATTATCTCAGACTTCTATTGCTGAACATTGTGGCTGAGTGGCTTTCCTACTTTGTAATCAGGAAATCCAGGGTTCAAGTCTTATGTAGCAGTTTTTACTCTGGAAGGGTAGGACATCTATTGACAGCGTGTAAAAGCTTTTGCCTATACCAAAATATAATTTTTTCCATAAGTTGTTACAAGGTATAGCGCTGTAGATTAAAGAAAATTGTGAATGAAATAGAAACGGATGTTTAAAATCCAAGAAAATAACAGACGGATGATAGTGTAAGATCTGATTTACAGTGTGGCTGACATATAGTACAGGATGACTGCTTTCATTTTATTGAGAAATTCCAGACAGCTTAATCTTGTTTCTTAGAACTCATATATTCATCACTGTTTAAAAAAGCCTGCCAAATATAGCCCACAACTTCACATATTTTACAAAGTTTTATTTTAATATCTTCTTTTCATCTGTGTCAAGATCTCCCAAGTGGTCACTTCCATTGAAGTTTTCCAACCAAAATTTTATATGCTTTTTAAATAATTTGCTTTTTAGTTTCACCAGTTGACTTCTTATAATGTAAGCTGTACTTGTGTGTGTGTGTGTGTGTGTACACTGTATTAATATGATTCTTGTTGGTTTTGCAGAGCACGACAGGATTTATACATATGAAGCTAGAGGAAGAGCCCCCAATTTTCAGCAAACAGAAGGTCAACTTCTCCCCAACAGATCGCATCACCCATCTTGCAGTAAGCAGTGAATTGCTCGTGCTTGTCATGGCAAACAATGTTCTGCTTAGGATAGATCTTCGACAGCCCGACAAGCCTCAAGGTAATGACATCTTATTGGTGATTTCTGGGGAAATAAGATATGCCTACAAAATTTTGATCAGTAGGTCTGAAAAGTGAAGACCACTTGGGAGCCTGGTCATAGGTGGGAGGATAAGTGGGTGTTGAGCAAATAGAGTGTGAAGTTGTTGAACGGATTTGACTGACCCAGGATAGGGGCAGTTGGTAATATGGAAAGGAACAGCAAACCACATTTAAGAGAGTGTTTGCATTCCAGGAATATCATCCAAAAGGTAGGAGGACTGAAGTACGTAGACAAGTCCTGATGCTTTATGTAGGAATTGGAACAGCCACATTGAACTAATGATTAATTTATGTGTGTGTGTTTTATGTTTGCTCAGAGTATTACTGTGCTATGTATTCACAGAAATCGAGCTTGGTAAATATATGTCACATTTGAGACTAAGTGATGTCTTTTTGGACCCTTTGGGGCATCATTTGTTGCTGAGCTTGTCCTCCAGAAACACAGAGGCTTTAGCAGAACTTCTGTACCTCTCCCGCAAGACCAGTAAACTAAAACAGGTGGGTTTGTGTCTGTTAACTTTAGTATAAATAGAGTTGCATTATTAGTATGGTAAGTACATATCATATCATATCATTATATAATTTTATTCTTATTCTCTTCTGTTTCCATTTTAAAGGGAACAGCTGATATTTAAAACTGTCACATATTTGGACTGTGGTCTTCTGGTTGTGATGCATGTAGACTTTTAGTTACCATTGTTTTGGAGAAACATGTCATCTTCATCTTGGTAACCATCTACTAGACTAAGATTTAAATGTCCGCTTCCATGAAAGCCTGAAACCGTGTTCTTTGTTTAATTTCTTATGGGATGATGAACCTGATTTTGTTTCCCCTTGATAACTCTGAAACAAATTGACTAATGCTTATGAATGCTGAAGGAAATTCATGCTCTAAAATGTCAAATAATCTGACATTTCTAACTGAAACAGATCCATACTGTCTTTCTTTCTGTGTAACATTATTTGAATTTTATTCATCCAGGAGATGCTTTTACACTGCTCATTGCATTGGCGTGGAATTCTGGGATGGCTGCTATGTTTTGTCTATGACAAGCTTGTGTATTGTCCATTCTTCACTGCCATGAGGTGATGTTGGTCTGTCACATGATTTTGTAGATTTGACCGCTAACGTCTTGTTTCCAGCCGAGCAAGTACAAAGGGCATGAAGTAACAGCTGTGGGGTGGAACTTTGGAAATGACTCTGACATTACCACTGGTCCTATCCTGCTTGGTACCTCAAAGGGACTGATATTTGAAACTCAGATTGCCCAGGATGGAGATGGAATCTTCCAGTCAAGTTTGGAACAGTACTGGAGACAGGTAAGTGGTTATTTCTGAATCAGTTGGAGAACCCACATCAAGGCCCACCATTGAATAAGACCTGAGCCAGTTCCATGCACATCCCATCCTCGCAACTGGCCTCCTGACGTCTGTCTTAATGTTACATTTACATTGTCCTCTCAATCATTTACTTTTCCAAAAAAAAATTCACTCCAGTGAGCTGCTTATTTCTCTCTTCTGAGCTATATTTTCAGGCCTTCGTAATCTCTTAGATTTCACTATCCTAATAATAATAATAATAATTATGATGATAGGTGACCTGTGTAAATAAAATTCCACATTGCGGAAAACCATAAAATACTTTCTATATCGCTCTGAAATCTTCATGTATTTTGAGTGTTTTGAAAGCTATTTGAGTAATTTATCAGTGTAAATAATGAAGTTTATTTTTAGACAATAGCTTTTAGTTTTTATTCTAGATTGTCTGAATACGTTACTAGTACTGACCAGATAATGTTGTAAATTGTTGTGTAGCTTACACTTTAATTGTGTAACAGTTTCCCACGTACATCCCAATGTGAAAAATGTAAAGGAAGCACGACTTTGCTAGTTTGTGCTTTAACATTGTCCTGTAATTTGGTCTAGGCGTGATTCTGGCAAGAGATTTTTCATGTTTTATGTTCCGTTATCAGGTATCAGAGCATATGGGACTGCCTTGTAGCTATGATATGTGGGCCCAAAAAACAATGTAATATTTTGTGAATTGTCTAAAAAGGTTAACAGTGTGTATTTGTTTGTATCGAAGAGACTTGAAGTAAGTTTGAAATGGAAGTTATTGCATAAGAAGGCCTACATGGCCCATATAGTGGGCTCCGACAGGAAAGTAACAGAAGTGTACAGAATAGTGAGGAAACAGCCACTTAGAAGAATAAACAGAACAGAACTAGATCTTGTGAACTTGATTAATGGTGACGATGAGTTAGAAACATTATAAAATGAACTTCTCAGTATTGGTAGATCAGAACATGATGTGGCACCTGCCTCATCAGCTTGGATGGTGCATTGCCAGGTAAATGTGAGATGTCATAGTCTATGTGATTTTGTTGAGGCAGCTTGAAACACGTATCTTAAAGCTTGTTCACTTGTCTCATTTCCTGCTGGTCATAGCTGCCGAGTTACCTGCCACTGTATGGAGCTCGGGACGTAGATGGTCTGGTAAATACAATAAAGCTTATGTTTTGTGTTGTCAAAGGAAAGTAGACTGTAAGAGAAATTGCAGGGATAAGCACTGGCTGTGGCATGCAAAGACTGCGGCTCCCTTTAAAATGATTAAATGACATGTAAGGTCTAGAGCAGCTTATTAGGCACGCTTTTTATCAGATGCAGCAGTAAAGATTACGTCTTTTTAATTATATTATTTGGTAAATATATTGAATTGTTAAAAAGTACAAAGGTGTTTTTATTAGTGTACACAGCTTTTGACCTATGTTTGTATGCAGTCTTTATTGCTTTAGTTTTCTTAAAATTCGGTATGTTCAGACTTAGTCCTTTTTCAGGCTTTGGGCATGGGAAGTCCTTCAGATTACATGCCTCTTTGTTTGAAAACAGCTAGAATAAGTTTTCCAACATTGCCCTTTAAGAAAGCAAGATGTAAAAGAAAATTCAAGGAACTTAAACTAATGGCATCAGATACAAATAACACAGAAATGTGCATCTTACTCTGTTTACTTACATTACAGGTATTTGACATAGGTAAAGGGAACAGCACATCAATTACAGGGCTGCAGTTCCACCGTGTCCCTGGCTCAGAGAAATATTTTGTGCTTGTAACAACTCCAAACCGGCTTTACCAGTTCATCGGTTATGTGACTAAATCTGATGAAAAACCACTCTTGCAACAAATCTTCAATAGCTATCTTAATGTTCCAGGTAAAAGAAGTGTTGTTTCATCTGTTTTATTTAACTTCAATGTCAGCAGTTCAGACTGTACAGCATCAGATGATCAGATGATAGGATAATTAATGAATTGGAAAGGATATGGATGGAAGTGATTGTGGCCTAATGTGGGGTCCTCTCCCAGAATTTGTCTGGAAGGACTGAGGAAAACTTGATAATCTCAGTCAGGATATGTGATCTCTAGACCAAGATTTTAACATAGGACCTCCTGAATAAAAACCATAGCGTATATAGTCCATCTGCATTGCCAACAGCAGTTGGTTAAGAAGTAGTGAGATGATCTGTGGAGGCAACTTGCATGATTATGCCTTTCTTTCCTTTTTAATATCGGTATGTACTTTCACCATTGGTGGAATTGTTTAATAAAGTGCACCCATTAGGTATCATTTAGACTCTAATGGAGACTTCATTGAGTTATCTAGTGCAGTACTAAGTTTTGTGAATGTAGGTAGGCTGAGAGACATGCGTAACGAGACCATATTTGTCTTACAAATAAGGCTAAAATGAAAGACCAGAAATTTCAGTTGTGTTCCATGAAATAATTAGGTTTTTTTCCCACTTGGTTGTAGCACATCTTCTCTTCTTCGTTGTTTGTCTATACTCAGAATGAAGTTACTTCTGTTCTGCTCACTGCTTCCAGTGCAGCACTATTCAGGAATGGTGGCAACTCCATTAAACATGTTCTGTGCATTTCAGAGACACTGGTTTTTTAGTTCGGCTGTTTGGTAACATTTCAATTCATGGTATGTGTTATTTGTTTCAGAGGGCTTTCAGGATATCCCAAGTTCTCTGAAGTATTCCAAACTGCAGTTCTATTACCCAAACCCAAAGGGACTACCAAAAACTTTTGCTTGGCTAACAGAACCAGGGATTTTCTATGGACAGGTGAGTTTGTTCAAAGTCTTATAGTAGCATTTCTTGAAATGTTCAAAACTTGGTCCTTCTCCTCCCCCCTCCCCCAGAATGCTGTGTGCCAGTAAGAACACAGTACAGCGGATGCCGCCTCCCAGTATTCCTGTATTTAAGGTTTTAGTTTTAATGATCCCAAATCCATGAGCCTAATTTTAAATGAACTTTGTGTTGTGCTCAAAACCGTTGTCTGCTGAAATACCATAAATGGTATCAGGGAATATGTTGAATAAACAGTTGTGGACACTGACAAGGGGTGGTCCTTCATTTTAGGTGTGGGGCTTTCACTTCTCAGTATGTTATGGAATGCTACAAAGGTCTTACTTCAGGGATCTATGCGTAGGTAGGAAGGTAATATCAGGATGGATGTTGGTGAAAGAGATATGATTGGTGGATTGGATTTAGCTGGCTCAGGATTGGGTAAGATGGCAAACTTTTGTGAATAGAGTAATGAATCTTTGGTTCCACAGAAGAAAATAATTTCTTGACCGGGTGGGTCACCATGAGCTTTTCAAGGAAAATCCTGTGACGTTAGAAATGTTCCAAACAGTTGGTGTAGCTGGATCGATAGTTAAATGAAATATTTTGTTTCAGCTGGATACAAATGGCCAGAATTCTGTTGTGACAAACAGCCAGCTGCTGCAGTACCATCCACCAAATTCAGGTGCTCCGCTTGCATTTGTGATCACCGAGTTTCACGTCCTCCTGTTGTATGCCGACCATGTGAAGGGCATTTCCCTCCTGAATCATGAGCTTGTGTTTGAAGATGTTTACAGTGAGGTACAGTATTGTATATTGTTAACACTTAAAGATGTATGTAGCAGTAACATTCTGGATTTGTATCTTGTGGTACCCAGTTTAAATCTTGGCTTCTGGTCCACAGGCCTCGTAATTGGATAGCACCTTATCTTACAGCAGTTTGACACAGCACCTGCTTGAACTCTGTGAATGTGAGTGAATAATGGACAAAACAGTTAGCAGTTCATTAATTGATTGTCTGTCTTTACATCTCCTGAGCAGTTCAACTGGCAGAAAATGTTATAGAAACAAAATATGCACTACTAAAGGAAATCTGTTGCTAGTCTGGAGCCACGAGGTTTGGGATTACAGTATTCTTATGTCTCTAAAGTACGTTCTTTCACACATAGTTGATTTAGTGCTTTGCTCAAGAGAAAACTCACTTCCTAGTTCGGAGTTTGCGTGTCACATGTCTTGTAGTCTCATCAGGTTTCTAATGTGACTTGACAATAGGGAGTCAGTGTTAGTGCAGTAACTGCAGGATTGTACTATTTTGATTAAGCATGAACATGAACACTGTTGCCATGTTGTGTTTGCAGTCATTTGGGAAGCTGGTGAACATCACACAGGATCCTGTTAAGGGCACGATTTGGGCGTTTACAGAGAAGGCGGTTTTCCGATACAATTTTTTATGAAGCTTTTAATCATAGAAATTGCCCATATACTCTTGAATATAGATTATGTAGGTTGGTTAAGGTGCTAACATTCCAGACTTGTACCTAATTCAACTTTCAGCGGGGCCACCTGTTACCTTGACTGAGGTTTTCCTGGTGAACATCAGTTAACTCCAGACAAATACTGTGATGGCAACTTAAAATAGTCCACGACAGTTTTCCTTCAAGTCCTTACCACCCACTACTCATTATAATTTTTTCACCTTGTTTGACAGTTTGTAGTCTGTATGTGGAACAGCATCATTATATAATGTAAGGATCAGTTATGTGGTGTTCGTGCGTTGCAGGTGTATGTGGAGAAGGGCGAATTTGAGCTTGCCAAGCAGTACTGTAAGGACAATCCTGCACACATGGATCAGGTGCTTGTCAAGCAAGCTGAAATGTACTTCACCAACAAACTGTATGTAAAGCTGGACTCCATGAAATTAAATTTTATTTTATAATAGTACTGATGTACTAACGTAACAGCTTGCAAATGCCTTGTTTCTTGTATTTCAAGATATGAGAAGAGTGCTGTGCATTATGCAGAGACGCAGTCATCATTCGAGGAAGTTACTCTTAAGTTTCTGCAGGTGTGGCAGATTGAGGCACTAAAAACGTTCCTGAAGAAGGTGAGTGTTTCATTCGAGTCAAGGGGCGTTTTCTACTATGGAGGTCAGATTTTCTAAATATGTTTTGTGTGATTTTACACAGATACTTAGCCTTGATGTTCAGTTGTTGGAGATAAAGATGTGTTTTTGCAAAGTTTATCACACACTGCACAGAGGCATGCATTTTTTGTTGATTTTTTTATTATTATTAAATACACATATATAAAAATGTTTGAAATAAAAATTGTGTGTTTTGACTACATATATTTGTATAGTGAACAGTTTTTCAGAAAAGTGATAAATTTAATTTGAGCTTTATATTGCCTAGAGGATGCATTGGACACAGTAGAAACCAAAATTATATTGTCGCACAGTTACCACAGTAAAATACATGGTATGCATTCTCTTATGCAGATTTTGTTTATATTTTCATTGCCAACTGTGCAGCATGTCATGTGGTGGTTGAGAGAGTGACATCTTTTGAAACACTCCATAGTGTAGAGAAACCTGCTCTGCTTGCCACCATAATGCCTAAACTGTCAACTCTTTGTGGACCTATCAGTTACTGACACTGGCAAGAAGTGAATAAATAACCTGCAAGCTTTTGAATCCTACCTGGCACAACCATTGGTTTCATGCCCTTCTTTTGGAAAGCTTGAGAAACACGGAAATAGGAAACCGCTATGAACATGTTAACTTTTTCATTACACATTGAGTTCACTGTGCAGCAAACAGTATTCATCTTAGTAATAAAAGTGTTACATGTGCCATGAATGCGTTTCTGTTTCTTGCATACATTTGGTTTCCATTACAGAAGCTGGAGGGCCTGAAACATCAGGACAAAATGCAGATAACAATGATTGTCATTTGGGTGATTGAATTGTTTTTGAATCAGCTGGGCACACTGCGAGATGAAGGGATGAAGAATACCAATGAATACATTAGTCTGCAGAAAGAGTTGGACGCTTTCCTTGCTCGCCCACAGGTCATGGTGAGTTTTGCGAACCTCGCGGTAGATGACATGAGATTTGAGGTACTCACAATGGTGAAGTTGTCAGTATTGGTCTCCTGTGCTATAATGCCATGTGAACTTAGAGGTAGACAGCCCAGAAGATAGAGGCAGTATGTGCATGGAAATCGTTTGTCTGGAACCTCTCGTATTGTCAGCTCGGTTTATAATGGAGAAAACATAATTGTATCTAGACCTCTTCTGATAAAGTTAGTGATGATAACAGAGATTGTTTATTTACTAAAACTGGAAAAGTCATTATTTTTAAAATAGGTAATTTCTCAGCCATAATGAGATATACAAAATTTGTGTACTTGAATATATGAAGTTGTGAATCAGTAGCAGTCCATTGATATGATATGAAGCACTGTTGGAAAGGGTTCTGATGTCCATTGTGCTCCTTTTTATGTATCACTTCTTTTATTTGTGAAAGATAATTATGTTTTTAGTCGTATTTATAATTCTGTTTGATGTTTGTTGATTTAGTGCTTCAAACTAGAACCAGACCAGTGTTGGCAATATTCCAATTAAAAATGGATATATGTTGCTTATTGTAGGAATGTGTGAAGAATAACCGAGGCACAATATATGACCTGATGGCGAGTCACGGAGATAAGGACAACCTCATTAAGCTGACCATAATCAACAAGGATTTTGAACGAGTCATCCGTCATCACATCCATAAGAACAACTATTTAGAAGGTACAGATGAGTAGATGATTTGCTTACCGTATGTACAAGTAAACAAGTAGATGACTTGACATTTAACCAAATAAATGGCTGGTTTCTGTTCCACCATAAATATAACTTAAAATTGCCCGGTTCTGTATCAAAAGCGTTCGTACATGTTACTGGAATAGCCGGGGTAGCTCAGTCAGTATAGTGACTGGCTACTGACTGGACGAC